TTATCGGACTTAATCCATTACATTATATATATATATATATATATATATATATATATATATATATATATATATATATATATATATATAGAGAGAGAAAGAGAGTGATTGTGAGAGTATTGATACAAGTGAAATATTTGTCAATTCGCTGTTGATGTTACCTTCAGCATCCCGACTCAAGATTTATAGATGGACACTGTGGGAATCACTCCGTCCAGTCGTCAGGGTATATTAGCAAATGACTGCTTATACTTCTTGATTTTTCTTTTTATATGTACTTTCATTGGTTCCCTGTCCTTCTCTTCATCCTTTACTCTCTCTCATGCCACTTTACTCTTGCACCCACTCTCTGTAAGCCCTTGCGTACTAGTGGTACCCCTGCCTTGCTTGGGGTGAAAAGCTTTAAAAAACAATTAAATAATACAACTCTTTAAGAAATAAATGAAAAGAAAGGAAACAAAATTATTAAACAAAATCCTAAAGCTCAAACAAAATATTAAAATAAATGGATTAAACAAAAACTTTTATCGCGTAGGTCATATAAATTAATAAAATAATTAAAATCTATAAATTGTACCCAACAGAATGCAACTGTTAACTAAAGGGTCTTATATGGGATTTTAATAAAACAAATCAATGGAAAAATGCCAGCCAAACGCATATACTTAGACTAAATATTCCCAGTAATGCTAGAAGAATAATGTACAAACTGTACTATATCGAAAAAGATGTGACTAAGGCATGCTTTTCATGGCTACAATAAGGTTATACAGCACACACACACACACACACACACACACATATATATATATATATATATATATATATATGTATATATATTATGAAATGGACAAAGTCCGACAATTATTTTAAGACATTTTTGTGTTCATACATTCTTTTTTAAAGATACAAATATTTAAGTAAATACTCTGTTTATAATAAACAGTATTAATAACATTTACCGTCGGAGGACGCATATTTTCTATGACAATTTCTCGGACATTCAGGCCGGTAAATGTTGTTAATACTGTTTATTATAAACAGAGCATTTACTTAAATATTTGTATCTATAAAAAGAATGTATAAATATAAAAAATGTCTTTATATATACATATAAATATATATATATTGTGGCTATGTTTCCTTCCTTTTTTATGGAAGAGCGAATATTACTGGTGAACCGGAAATCATTCGCGATTGGACAATAAATTGCGAAGAAGAGTCGAATGGTGGGCATTTCGGAAGATGATAAAATTTCTAGTTGACGGAGGGTACACAAATCGATACCCGATCAGTATCGGCTGAGTCACCGTGAAGAGGGGATATTATGTTGAAAGACCCGAAACCACTAATGAACTCGGGCTAGAAACATCACTGATGATATGTACTACAGCGTCAAATAGATGTATTTTACAATATATATATATATATATATATATATATATATATATATGTAAGCAAATATATGGATATAGATCCGACAGTATGAAGAAAAATACTGAAAAAAAACAAACAAAAATTCTAATATGCGATTATGCTGTTTTTAATGTTTAATGTCAACGTCGGACGTTTCGGTCTAATAGACCATCTTCAGTTGAATTTTATATGGTCTATGTAAATTATGTTTTATGAATATGTCCTGAAGATGGTCTATTAGACCGAAACGTCCGACATTGATATTAAACATTAAAACAGCATATTAGGATTTTTGTTTGTTTTTTCAGTATTTTTCTTCATATATATATATATATATATATATATATATATATATATATATATAAAACTCTTTTTACAGATAAAGTTTATCTTGTCCTGGAAACGGTTATATTTTTTTTTAAAAATGGTGCTCCTGGAAACGGTTATATTTTTTTTTTTAAATGGTGCTCGATACGCTTTTAAAATAATGAAATCTCTAGCATGTATAAATTTTTCGAGATACAGGAATGGTCATGAAACACGCTAATTTAAACCTTATATCTAGATCTTATAGTATAAGTATTAAGAGATAGAAAAATGTTCTTAAGAACAAACCTCGTCCCAGATGAAGAAGAAAAATAAAATGATATGGCTCTTTTGAGAAATACTAAGAACGCCATTGACAGATCATGCGATCAATGAGGAAGTACTAACTAGAATATGCTTAAATTTTTTTTTTTTTTTTTTTTTTACCAATTTCAGAATCAATTGGTGCACAACAGAATGAAAATTGCGAATAAACTAACCGATGTTCATTTTTTTTCTTGCGTTTTTTTTCGTGCGCATTTGGCTATTTCCATCATTATCAAGAACTAAACCCCGTCTGTATCGTATTTGGCATTTTTGGAATGTTATATTTTCAGTTTAAATATACGTGAACGTTATACGTGCAGTGGACTCCCTGGAGGGGCGCGATATAATATGGCCTGTGCGACCAAATAAGGATGTCACAAGGGGCCCACTAACATTTTCAAAATTAAACACATGATATGCCGGAAGTAAGAACGACAGAATAACTCAATACATAACCAATCCAAGAGCCCTACCCACAATGCGTTTCTCCTCCTCGTTCGCCATTAGTTCGGGGAGAAGTCGCCATGTTATATGATAAGGGATTACAAACATTAACTAGTGCTGCATATCTACGTAATATTTAAACAACATAAATCCAGTGTTGCTTCAATGTATAAAAGGTATAAAAATGTTCACAAAGAGTATTCAAAGTCCTTAATACTGAAACAACAACAACAAAAAAAGACATTAGGTTTATTATGAATCGAAATGAAATTGGTATATTAAATTGAAGTGTGTACGACAACGCAATGAAGATATGTAACGTCTACCATTGATCACGTGGACAGAGCAGCAAAGGGCTACGTCAGTTTCATAGAGTTTGACTTCATCAGAATACGAAAATATTACATATTTTATATGTATGATAATTACTTTATACACCTTTTACGTGTCTTATACTTATTTTAATATACTGTCTCTTATCGTGAAAGATAAATAAGTTAAATTTAATAATCTAATATTTATATTATTTATAGCATATTCTTACCTTTTTCCTGCATCGTGTTAAAATCATGCTTACATGCAAAATGCTAATTAACCTTAATGCTAATTAACTTTTAAAAAAAGCCGCGAAAAATAAATTTAAAGTTCAGGAATCCCACAATCAGTGTGGCTAATTAGAAGTACATTAAAAGATACGCACTATTCGAAAACGCATTAATCGAATATATAATAACTTATAGGAAATGGTTAAATTTGGAGCTCAAATTTGAATCGCATTCACTATTTCTATGTTTTAGTTAAAATACAGCTACATATAAGATACCATAAAAATGCTAGGAATTAATACTTATTAATCTGATTTTTTATTAAAACTTATTTACAGCGGTCTGTGCGCTTTGGCGTGGTGTAATGGTTAGCAAGCTTGTCTCGGTAGAACAATTACGACTGAGTAGTTAGTTCGATTCACACTGGGTGCCCAATGCCTCCGGCCTTGTGCCACATCTAAGCTACGCTTGGAAAATCACTATTTACAGTGGTTCTCCGTATGGTATTTTTATGTTCTTCATATAAATGGCGAGACTGAGAAATTGCCTTCAGATTTTTCAAACTTATCATAATCATTAGTAACTTAACATGAGAATTTGATTTATAATCTTTTCATAGGAAATGCATACATCTTTTATATTTCGATATTTTTTAATAAATCTAAATTTCTGTATCTGTCTATATTTCTGAGATGAGGTATTATGTACATTATTTACATTATTCGGACTATTGTCCTCATCTTTGTCACCATATTTATTACAACGTTTCGGCCTTTCAGTATCTGTCTATATTTCTGAGATGAGGTATTATGTACACTATTTACATTATTCAGACTATTGTCCTCACCATTGTTGCCATATTTATTACAACGTTTCGGCCCTTCAATATCTGTCTATATTTCTGAGATGAGGTATTATGTACATCATTTGTATTATTCGAACTATTGTCCTCATTTTTGTCGCCATATTTATTACAACGTTTCGGCCCTTTAGTATATGTCTATATCTCTGAGATGAGGTATTATGTAGACTATTTATATTATTCTGACTATTTACACAGCAAAGCAACACAGACTATTATCGTTATTATTATTATTATTATTATTATTAATATCTTCTCTACTTCCACAAGGTTTTTCTTTTTCAATCGGATATCTAGTATTATGGAAATGTTCTAACGATCTAATATCCAACTAATAGCAGAATATTTTCACAGCCTAGCAACGCAGATTATTATTATTATTATTATTATTATTATTATTATTTATTATTATTATTATTGTGGTGTAATCATCCAGAGGAAAGAACAGGTTAACCTACGAGAGAGTGAGGTAGTTGAGTAAAATTGTTTTATTATTATTATTATTATTATTATTATTAGTTGTAGCCGTGGTAGTATTAGTAATTGTTGTAGTAGTAGTATTAGATATATATATATATATATATATATATATATATATATATATATATATATATATATATATATATATATAAATTAATTATATTTATGCTCTACTTTTGTATCGAGTACTATTTTTAAAAATAATAACTAAAATACTAAAGGGACTTTGGATTATTTACCTAACCAGTTTCTTCCTATTTTCTATATATTTTCACCCCCCATATATATATATATATATATATATATATATATATATATATATATATATATATATATATAGTATGTATTTATGCATTTAATTTCCCAAATTAGGGGTGTTCCCTTTTACGTAAGACCGGCACGTATATGCGTGTCTAATTCTGTTATCAAAGACAAGTGTATAACTCGGTGCACTGTGAGTAAAGGATTCAATTTCCGTACGGATTCAAGAGAAAGGTAAAGACTAAATTGAAGGAAAGAGGAAGAACCGGATTGGTGGTGGTGGTGGTGGTGGTGGTTATGGAGTGGGGACTGGAATATCGTGGGAGGTGAATAAATAAAAGGTAAATGCTTAAATTTTAAGCCTAGAGACACGATCGAAGTGATAAGAGTCGGAAGTGACAAGGTGAGCGATGATGGCAAGAGAGAAAACGAGTCTGGCAAAATGGCTGAATAATTGAGGCGATAAGTGGATGAGAAAAGAGCGGGCAGACAAGGGGATGGGAGAGAAGAACGGGGTATAGGAAACCGAGGGGATGACGATGATGATGATGATGATGAGTAGGAGGTAGTAGGTGGTGGGTAAGGGTGTGGGAGTTAGGAAGATATTGTAGAAGAAGAGGCGGGAAAATGCAAACCAGAACAAGAAAGCCGGTTTGTAACAGAAAGAGAAAGAAAGTGTAAAGCACACTGTGTGTTACGGTGATGACAGCTTCAGCTGAAGAAGAAGAAGAAGAAGAAGAAGAAGAAGAACAACAACAACAACAACAACAACAACAACAGATAAAAGGGTGCGTGGAAGGCAACAAACCATAGAAAAAAAAACAAGAAAATAGAGAACGCTTGAAGGAAGACTAAGACGAAAAACAAAGAAAGAAAGAAATTAAAAGTGATGAGAGATAAACCTTTAAGGAAAGAGAAGAGGAAAAACCACAAAAAAAGAAGAGAAAAAGCAATTAAAAAGAAAGATAGACTTGGAAGAGAAACAATAAAGAAAAGAAAAAGATGGTGAAAAGGAATGTACGAGAAGTAAAAAAGAAAAAGAAAAATTAAAGAGAAAGCTAGAAAGAGGAGGAGGAGGAAGGAAACAAGAAAAAAAGATAGGAGAAGACAGCAAAGAAAGGGGAAAAGAAAGAGGAAATGAAAATGACAAAGAAAAAGAAAATTAGGAGGAGAAGAAGAAAACAGCAAAGAAGACGAAGGAGAAAATGAAAGAGAAGAAGAAGAAGAAGAAGAAGAAGAAGAAGAAGAAGAAGAAGTAGAAGAAGAAGAAGAAGAAAACAAAGACAACGAACGAGAAAATGAAAGGAAGAGGAGGAGAAGTAAACAACAAAGAAAACGAACGAGAAAATAAAAGGAGGAAAAGAAGAAGAAAACAACAAATAAAACGAACGAGAAAAGGAAGGGAAGAGGAGGAGAAGAAGAAAACAAAGAAAGCGAAGGATAAAATGAAAGGAGGAGGAGAAGAAGTAGGCAACAAAGAAAACGAACGAGAAAATGAAGGGAGGAGGAGAAGAAGAAAACAACAAAGAAATCGGAGGATAAAATGAAAGGAGGAGGAGAAAAAGTAAACAACAAAGAAAGCGAAGGATAAAATGAAAGGAGGAGGAGAAAAAATAAGCAACAGAAAACGAAGGAGAAAATGATAGGAGGAGGAGGAGAAGTAAACAACAAAGAAAACGAACGAGAAAAGGGAGGGAGGAGGAGAAGAAGAAAACAACAAAGAAAGCGAAGCATAAAATGAAAGGACGAGGAGAAGAAGTAAACAACAAAGAAAACGAACTAGAAAATGAAAGGAGGAGGAGAAGAAGTAAGCAACAAAGAAAACGAACTAGAAAAGGAAAGGAGGAGGAGGAGAAGTAAACAACAAAGAAAAAGGATGCGGACTAAAGGTGAGAGAGAGTGGGGGGAGAGGGAGAGAGAGAGACAACGTCTGAACGTGTTGGGGAGAAGAAAACGCACAAAAAAGACAATGAAGGAGCATTAATGAGGAAATAGGGGATGGTAGAAAAAATGAAGAAAAATAAAGTGAAAAATGGGAAAGGAAAATATAAAAAAAAGAGGAAAATGGAGACAACAGTGAATAAGAAAAAGAAAGGTTAAAGGAAAGAAATAGAAAGCGTAAAGAAAGGTGAAGAGGAAGATGAGGAAAGAGAGAGAAAGCTAGAAAGAAGATTAAGACAACAACGAAATTGAAAAAAAGGAAAGATCTAGAATGGTAGAAGGAAGGTGGAAAGAAGACAACGAAGAAGAAGAAAAGACGGTAATGATGAGGAGAAAGAAAGAAGGAAAAATGGTGAAGACGATGACGGAGACAGCAATCAAGAAGGAAGAAGAAATAAAAAGAAGGAAGCATGGGAAGATAGACACGATGCTAACACACAAACAGGAAATAAAATTGGACAATGAAAACAGAAAAAAAAGCATGAGAGACTGAAACAAGAAAAAAAAAATAAAAAGAGATATTTAAAAAAGAAAAAAAGGATAAAAGATGAGAAAAAGAATAAGAAAAAAAAAGAAAGAGGTGTGATAAGCGCAGAGAAAAAAAAGGAAAAAAAAGAGGGGGAGGACGAAGAAGAAGGAGGAGCAGTGATAATGAAAGCTAGAGAAAGAGTAGGAGGAGAAGAAATGCTAATGGTGGACGACAGATCTCGCCCGCTGCCACTTGAATGCCGAGACAGTGCGTCTCCAGTAAGCCTCGTTTTGGTTTTAAGTGTCAGGTCGCCCCAGTGCAACGTCCAAGTACAACGATGATTACATTGCTTCGGTCTTAGTGTTAGTGTTAGTGTTTGTGTGTGTGCATGCACGAGCGCGCGCGTGTGTGTGTGTGTGTGTGTGTGTGTGTGTGTGTGTGTGTGTGTGTGCACGCTTGCTAACCTTTTTCTCTTTCTGTCCCCACATGAATTCTTTCTAGCTGGACTTCTCCCACGAGGACCTACACAAAGACATTAATACACATACCTACGTAATTCTGTACCTATTCATAAAATGCACTTAGCATTTTGGCCTGAGTAGATGCACCTGAATATATATATATATATATATATATATATATATATATATATATATAGTGCTGGTGGCGTATAATAGCATAGCTAAAACTTATACTACTGATAAATGTACATTTTGTTTCCGACCATTTGGTACAATAGAAAGGCGCGAATTGAAATATATTTTCAATCCCCGCCTGGCGATTACCACGTGCATGATACTCAGAGTCGTAACAAACGGTATATATATATATATATATATATATATATATATATATATATATATATATATCGCTGCGTCGATAGTCATTATATTTATGTTTATCCTAAATATTATAATTTATTTTAATCGGAAATAAAATATAATATGTATCAACACGGCGATTCCTCTAGACTTTCAATAATGGCACAAAAAAGCTTATATATAATTTTGAATATATATATATATATATATATATATATATATATATAAAAAGCTATATATAAAATTCAAAATTATATATATATATATATATATATATATATATATATATATATATATATATATAAATGCTTATATATATATTCAAAATTATATATATATGTAATTTTTTAATATATATATATACAATTGTATATAATGTATATGTAATTTTTAATATGCATATATTCACATATATATATATATAAAAGCCTATATATGTGTTCAAAATTATATATATATATAATTAGATTATATATATGTTCAAAATTATATATATATATGTAATTTTGAATATATATATATATATATATAATATATATATATATATATATATATATATATATATATATATATATATATTAAAAAATTATTGTTATAACATCACGACAAAGATTTTTTTATGGTGATATTATATCATGCAGATGTTATTATTTTGCATAAATATTATTTGCTCTACTCTGTATTGAGCACTCGTTTAAGAATAGTGTCTTTGGCTATCGGAATTTTATCTGTACCAACCCTGTACTTCGGTGTGTATATAAAGCGAATTGAGTTCTCTCAGTCACTGTGTGTTTATATAAAAATAAATACGATTAAATTCGCATTCATTCCTGCCGTGCGCCAACAGCTTAGGGGTAGAATCCCCGACTGATGCCAATTCAGTCGGGTTTCGATCGAAGCTAGAGGCAACCGGACGTCTAGCCACACTGATGAGCTGTGATACAGAGAAACAGTCTGTCTGTGGATGACAATATATATATATATATATATATATATATATATATATATATATATATATATATATATATATATATATATGGAGTAGTGTAGCTTAGATGTGGCACAAGACCGAAAATAAAGTGCTATCCAGTGAGGATCAAACTCACTCCTCAGTGATAATTGTTCTAGCGAGACAAGCTTTGCTAACAATTATACCACGTTGAGATGAATATATATATATATATATATATATATATATATATATATATATATATATATATATATATATATATATATATATATATATATATATATATATATATATATATATATATATATATATATGTAGAGTCTGTGTATGAGTTTGTGTGTGTATGTGTGTGTATATTTGTGTGTATCTGCAAGTGTGACTGTGTGTTTGTCTGTGAAACGAGAAGGTCATGAATAGTTCTGCACCTGATGCACTTTAATAAAACACTAAATATCACAATTTGAACGGGCTGAGAACATTTCAGCACAATATATATATATATATATATATATATATATATATATATATATAGCAAAGATCTAAGATAACATGGAGTTTGAAGAGTGAATGTAATTCCGCGAAGATTAATCTTTTTCTCTACATTGTGTCCACTCAGTACGTTTGCGATCATGGCGCTCCACAACTTCCTATCTTTTATAGCTCTAAGTTGCTTATTCGTTGCTTTTGTCTGTGCCGCTTGTCCTGTGTGTACCAAACTCTCCATGCTCTCTTTCCTCGTTCTGTGTCTAATAAATTTCAATTCTTTCTTTCCGATTCGAAGTATAGGTTTCCTTCTTTTATTTAAGTTAGAACTTCGTCGATATAAAAATGTCCAGTCCCTTTTATCCTGAATATCCTTCTGTAGAACCTAAATTTCTATTGCCTCGTGTCCCATCTTGATCCGTGTGAAGATTCTTCTGCATTTGCTGCCCTACTGAAGGACAGATATTACATAACAGTTCAGCGCTGTTTTCTTTGTTTTTAACGATTGCTTTTCTGTTTCTTTATAATTAGTTTATCATTTGGAAGGCATCTTTTGCTATTCCAATGCGACTTCGGATTTCGATGTCACATTTTCCATAGACTTCATAGATATTTAAATTTTCATCATTGCTTGATTCTACCGTCTCCAGTTTACATGTCGTTCTGTCCCTTTTGTCGACAACCATACATTCTGTCTTCTCCCAAATGATCTTTAGTCTTATTTTCTGGCTTTTTATTACCTTCTTCCAGGAGTTCATGGCCACCAAGTTCTTTTTTTCCCCCTAGAAAATGTGGTTGGTCCTGCACCAATATAATCAAATGATATGCGCGAATAGTCTAGCTGTTGGTTCTAAGAACTTAACTACATGACCCTCACACCTGGAAAAAGAATGGGAGAATACAAGATATATATATATATATATATATATATATATATATATATATATATATATATATATGTGTGTGTGTGCACGATGGATAAATTATCGTCTAAATGAAGCAAAATGAAAATAACATTAATCTCATTTTAACAGATATATTTACCAAAATTATGCAAAAATATCTTAAAATACTAAAGAGTAAATTTATTAAATAAAATCGCCATTAGCTTCAACCACGGCCTCAAGACGACATCGGAATTCCCTGCAGCACTCCTGGACGGTCTCTTTGTTTAAGATGGTGAATACTGTCTTGATCCTTACCTTCAGTTCATCTTTAGTAATAGTCCTAATAATATAAATAGTGTACATAATACCTCATCTCAGAAATATAGACAGATACTGAAAGGCCGAAATGTTGTAATAAATATGGCGACAAAGATGAGGACAATAGTCCGAATAATGTAAATAGTGTACATAATACCTCATCTCAGAAATATAGACAGATACTGAAAGGTCGAAACGTTGTAATAAATATGGCGACAAAGATGAGGACAATAGTCCGAATAATGTAAATAGTGTACATAATACCTCATCTCAGAAATATAGACAGATACTGAAAGGCCGAAACGTTGTAATAAATATGGCGACAAAGATGAGGACAATAGTCCGAATAATGTAAATAGTGTACATAATACCTCATCTCAGAAATATAGACAGATACTGAAAGGCCGAAACGTTGTAATAAATATGGCGACAAAGGTGAGGACAATAGTCCGAATAATGTAAATAGTGTACATAATACCTCATCTCAGAAATAAAGACAGATACAGAAAGGTCGAAACGTTGTAATAAATATGGCGACAAAGATGAGGACAATAGTCCGAATAATGTAAATAGTGTACATAATACCTCATCTCAGAAATATAGACAGATACTGAAAGGCCGAAACGTTGTAATAAATATGGCGACAAAGATGAGGACAATAGTCCGAATAATGTAAATAGTGTACATAATACCTCATCTCAGAAATATAGACAGATACTGAAAGGCCGAAACGTTGTAATAAATATGGCGACAAAGATGAGGAAAATAGTCCGAATAATGTAAATAGTGTACATAATACCTCATCTCAGAAATATAGACAGATACTGAAAGGCCGAAACGTTGTA